TGAGCACCGCCAGGAGTAATTCCTGAGTGCAAAGCCAGGAGGAACCCCTGTGCATCACTGGGTGTGACCCAAAAAGCAAAAACAAAAATTCCTGGTGTAGGCCTGCTTCACATCTGGTTTGAAAGACACCTTGCAGGGCACATAGTATCCTGTTAAATCCCAGTTCAAACAGAGCAGGAAATAAGATCATCATGAAAACCATTCAGTGCCAGTGGGTGCATTCAACAAGTGACGTGTTGAGCCCTCCATCCTCCCACCCCAGCAAACGTATCACACTATTTTCTAAGCATTAGTAGAATTAGCCACCCCCATAAGAAATAGAGGACGAGATTGTATCCAATATAAATTTGATTTTATTGAAGCAGCAGTCACATGACTTTATATCTAGCCTTTAGATTAGGCCTGACAGAGTGAGCCAGTCCTAAAAAAATGATGTTTCTTTTTTGCACTAAGACATAACATGTTTACATACATCATCCAGTACTGGAAATGAGCAGACTCAAACACAACGTGTTGTTTACCTGGGAGGTACAGCCCCACTGTTTGTGGTGTTCATATCGTTTTATATACTCCCAAAGACCGTTTTAATGGGATAGTTAAAAGAAAACACAGCTACACCAAACCATGAACACAGTAATCAGACAGCAGCTTAGACATGTTTTAAATTTTCTTTCAGAGGATTTTTTTTTCTTTTTAAAGCAGTGCTTAAAAGCTTTCTCAACATCAAATCCAAAGGTTCCCAAGATGGAAGCTGCACCTCTTGGGCTTTACAATGAAATAAGATCATTAGCAAGAACAAGAACTAGTGTTCATATCTTGACTTGATAACAAAGATTTATGTATTTCTAGTTGGAGAAACAGAGATGGAGATGTGACTATATATTGCAGTAGCAAAATAGCTAGGGTGAAGAAAAGAGGGTGGATTCTGAAATAAAGACCACACACTTGTGAATTTTAATTTCATTTCCAAGCTAACCTACTTTTTATTTAATGCAAATTACAGTACCAGTTAACTATTTCCAAACCAAGTCACATAGAACAAAATGTATTTACAAGGAAATGGGGGAAGGGGAAAAAAAAACATTGAGCATACTTTTCACAAAAAAGTTTATATTTAAAATGAAATAAAAATCAGTCACAGAGGCATTCAAGTAGTAATAATGTTATACAGATTTTGCTTTTCCTTTATATCAAGACAGATTTGCACACGAGTTTGCAAGTTTGTATACAACCCACAGTCCTTTATATATATATATAATAAATTTTGATTTTTTAAAATTTGTTTTTAAGATGGAAGTGGTCACGCTAATTGGTATGTGTACAGGCCCAAGTGATCCATCGGCAACACATTTATTTATAAATGCAAATTTTACAGGCAAGCACATTTTCATACATCTATCTGTATCTGCCTGTAGACAGATATAGTAAAAAAAAACCTTAAAAATTAAATTAACACAAGGAAGTCTACTTTGTTAAGCTAACCCCTTATGTATTGGTTGTCATTTTACTTTTATTGGCAGAGGTGCAAAACGGAGCATCAAACTTGAATAAAACGTCATAACCTTGTGAAAATAATCCAAATCCAAGGGATTACTTTCAAGCATAGACCTTAGTCTGGGACTCTACTGTGCTTCTACTTGTCTCTCATTTCCAGTGGCTCAAGTTTCTACCAGACAGTTTTTATTGTAAAGCATGCTTACTTAATTTTTCTATATTAGGGGAGAAAGTGTTCGGCTCTGTGATTAGGTGATCACTAACATGAACAACAGGAGTCAGATACAATTTGGTTTAAAACAAAGGAAACCCCCCCTGAACTCCTGGGGATCAGATTAACCAAACTTCCTTTGGAAGATTCCAAAGTTAAATCCTTTGAAAAGGAAAGAGAAAAAGAAATGAAAGGCCAGTGTCTTTTTATCCACAAGGATAGAGAATACAATTGTCCTCTCAGAAACCTTAGCTTTTGTTGCAGGCTTATGACTGGTCAGGCAGGCTTTGTTGAAACACAAACCAAAAATATGTGAACAAATGAAAAGGACTTAAAAAAAGATGTATGTCACTGGAAAAAGGTGCAGTATTCTGCTTTGCTGGAATGAATACATGTTATTTCAAAAATAGCAACCTTTGGTTTGGTAAAGTTTTTTTTTCCCCCCTACTCAAGACATCTTAAATGGAGTACTTGGAGGCAAAACACATAATTTCACTTTTCTTCCTTTCAAAAAAGGCCATCAGAACAGGCACACAGAAAGAAAGAAACTGAATTCAAAAAATAAGAACAATGCCATCTCCTGGCATGGGGTGGAGGTGAGAAGGCGCTGAGTGTCCCTACCGAGCAAGTCCTGTGACACAGTGCGCTCAGGTGCCAGCAGCTGAAACCACTGAAGTATCCAAACCCGAGACCATTAAGAAACTTCGATTTATGAAACCAATTCTCTCTCTCGTTTGGGAAGGAAATGAGGAGGAGAGGAGAGTGAGCACAGAAGGCTCCTGGAGTCTGCTGCATGTAAGACCTGTGGTTAGACTTTGGGGAAAGAGACGAGCAAAATCTAATCTATTCGCTAACCTCCAGGGCCAGGGTTCCGGCACTGCAGGAAGTTCCTGGCAGAAGGAAGGAAGAAAAAAACCCGGTCACTGCTACTGAAGAGGAAACAGTTGTTCAAAACCAAAACAGAGAAGGCAGGGCTTGAATGAAATCAGAGTATCAACATGGTTTCCTCTTTCCAACCTAACTGTGGAAGGGGCAAAGACACTTTGTTAAGAGTGAGCTATCACTTCAAAGGGAAAGGGGTGGGAAACAGGAAGACATGGATCAAGAAGCCAATTAAAAAACTTTTAAGAAAGAAAAATAACCAAACACATGGAAGCGAAGGCACTCCAAACTATATAGATACACTATACATTGCTAGAGTTATTGTTACAATAATACAGGCCGGTACCTACTGTACAGAGTTAAAACTATATGGCTTTAAAAAGCTCGTCTACATTTTGTCTGATTATTAAACAGAATCACTGCCCTGAACAGTAACTTTTTGCTCATTAATAACAGTTCCTGGGTCCACATATTTACATACAAAACAATAAAACTTAAAATTTAAAAACATTGAAAGAAAATATAATGTACAAGCTTGAATTTGGTGAGGAGCTTTTTATTATTAGTATTTACAAAAGATATTCAGAGACCTGAATCTCACTTGTATAAAAGAGTTCTGTGATCCCGCCATGATACTTGAGAAAAGAAAAATCATGCACCTCAGCCCTCATATTCATACTATAAAAGAAAGAAAGAAAATATCAGACTTTTCTCTCTTCTCTTAGCCTATTTTGTGGGGGTGGGAGGAAGTGTTTTCTAAACAAGCTGATTATTTGTGGATTCTGGGAAGTATACCAAGTCCAGAGTAGTGTTTGTGTTCAATTGTTTCACTGTGCAGTTTGGTTTGAAAGCAGGTCCATTTCCCTGCCACAGGCCTGTGGTTTAGCTTCTTTATAAATTCTTTTTGAAAAATGGTCTCTTCAAACCATCCCATTGAGGAATCTTGCTGCCAAATGTTTTGCAGACTTCTCTCAAATCTTAAGTAGCTCTCAAAGCTCATTAAAAAAAATTAAATTCAGGACTGTTTAATTTGGTTTGACTGAGTGTGTTTCTCTTCTCATGAACAAGAGGTCGGAGAAACCCCTCTTGTGTCCTAAGTTGAGCTGAACAGTGAGTAAAAACCGAGTTGGTTCACAGTTGTCTTTCTGGATACGTGGTGAGTCAGCAGGCAGTGCTCGCCTGGAGTCACACACTTTCCTAAGAAGCAGGACAGGTTACAGGACCTGCGTGAGGGCTGCGAAGAGACTCCACTTTCAAATGATCTGAAGGGCGAGACCCCGAACATGACCTAAGGTGGCAATGAGATGGGGAGAAGGAGGTTTTACGTAATTGAGGGCTCTGTCCTACAGCCTGACAATTATCAGCTAACCTAGGAAGGTATGTGGAGAAGGAGTAGGCAGGAGGGGAAGGCGGCCATCACTCAAGGGATCTTTACATGTAAAGAACAACTGATTGTGCCTTAAAGATTCATAGGTCAAGTAATGGCCCATAAGCACCAAGGTGACTAAGGTTCATTTTAGAGTATATAAGGCCCACATAGATGTTAACCTTGAAAGTAAAAAACAAACTAGTTGTGAAAATCTATTTCCTCATTGCAAATGTAATCCTTCAATCCTTCTTTGCTTTCCAAGGAATATTGCTTTTTCTTCAAAAACAAAGACTGATTCTTACACCGTTCATTGATACACAAAACAGAAATAAAAACTGGATATGGAGGAGGGGGGAAGAAACATTCTTCTCATGCTTCAACCAGTCAAACCTGATAGTATGGACAAAAAAACCAAAAAAAAAAAAAAAAAGGGGGCAGTACTGAATCTATGTATATATAACATATACACACATTTATATAATCAGCTTTTCTATAAATCAGCAGGTACAAGTAACTGTTTATATCATTTTGATGTGTAGTTTTTAGTATACCTACTATTTAAAATCATAATGGCCTATCTGACATACATCAATAAATAAAATGGAAAGAGCATGAGGTTAAAACAAGACAAGCCGAAATTAAAAACAAATCTTAGATTTGGATTTAAAATGAGAACAATGTGCAGAATGTGGCATCTTCTGCAAGCTCAATTTGCAATTTAAAAATATGAAACACCAACCAGTAGACCATTACAGTTCACATTATTTAACTACAACATCCTCTCAAATGTATCTTTCCAAGGGAAGCAACTTAAAACTTTTTTTTTTTGAACAAATTCATTCACAGTGGTAAGATCTGGCCCTGGCCTGTCCTCTGTCTCTAGGTTCTTCAGCTTTGGATTTCTACAGTCATAGTGGCTGGCTCAATGACTTTTTCACTTTTCTCTTGGGTCACTAGTTTTAAACTCCACTAAGATTTGCAGAGAACCGTTGGTCAGGGAGAGATCCACTGCAGCACACGCTCCTCCATGACAGTTTCCTCCTCAAGTTTCTTCACAGCTAGCGTTGATCATGAGCAAGACCTAACCTTTGCAAACCCATTCAGCATCTTAATCTTCCCCTTCGAATAAATTTCAAAACATTACTGACCTCCCTGGGTTACAAAGGACGTACATTTCTTTTCCTTTTCGTCTGCCACACCTGCTACCACAATGCCAAAGGCAAGACTGCTAAAACCCGAGGATATGGATTAGTTTTACAAGTGACATTTAAGTCCTCACTGAGTTACACCTGCTAAGCTCCCAACCAATTTCAAGCTGTGCACTAAACCGAAGTCTTGACTTCACTTTTAAAAGAAAACAAAGTTCAAAAAAACTTCAGCATAGAAAAAAATTGTCTTCTTTTGTGGAAGGGGCATGAGGCAGGAGTCCTGTTTTTAAAGTATACAACAGCAGACTTTTGATAAAAAAGATTGTCGTGGGAGAGAGACTATGTGTTCTAGTGCTCCGCTTTCCCTTCCCACAACCCTCCCACCCCTGGATCTCCCTCAAAGTGAGAATACAATGAAATTGGCTTGTATTTATAGATATTTTACAAGGTTAAATAAGAACAACAATAATAAAAAAAAAACTGAACACTAAAATGAACAGGTTTTGTTTTTTTCCCTCTTTTTTTAATTTTCTTTCCAAACGTGACCAGTGTTGCTGAGTGACACTCAAGTAAACTGGTGGTTTTTCCTGTGCAGCTGGCTGCCCAAACGGTTCAGGTGGAGTTCGAAGCTGATGCAGAAGCGGCATTATTGGTCTGTCCACGGTCTCCAGCATTAGCATCTGCAAATTAAAAGTCCCAAGAGAGAGCATAAGCAATGCTGTGAATACACACCAATGAGAAAAGTACACTTCTCTCAACAGCAATGAGCTGATGCTGTGGCATTCCAAGCTGGATCTAGAACACTGTCTGAACTATGGCCAGCTCTATGCAATCAGACTTTCTTTCTGGGAGCTTAGAGCTAGAGCCTTGGCTTGATCCTGGTCAGAGTAGAACATCTCTGTGCAAGTTAGAGACTCGGGGAGCAAGTGACCCTTTTTGTCCAAATTTGGCAACAGCTACGATGGCAGCACATACACACTCAGTTGCAAACTAGCTCATGAAGATAAATGAGCAGTGCACAGCTGGTGAAAAGCCAGCTAAAATTCTGCGGCCCGTTACAATATACCATCTGCTTAGGTGGGTGAATAGGCAGAGGCAATGAAATTGGGTCAGTGAATAACAAGCAGAAGCACTCTATATAGTCTAATTCAGTCGCTTGCTATCTAAGTACAGTCTCTTCTCATTAGTCATGGAAATGGCAAACAGCAAAATATAGCCACTGCTGTGATCAATGCACATATTCAATAAAGTCTGTCCTGGCTATCATTTTGGCACTGAGCTAACTTTGCTAATCCTTTGAAAATATGTCATATAATTAAAACTGAATTTGGTCCCTTTTTCTCCTTTCTGGAGGTGCTTTATTATTCTGGAGCACCCATTACTAAGCAAGCATTTGTGTCTAAAGGAACACTGTGCTGTGTTGTTTCAGTGGTAAGTTAAGCTGTATCTTTTCACTACACATATCGCAGAACAAATTTCTACCCAAACACTTCACACTAACTTGCAGAGCAAGAAGAAAGGTGGCTTGTTTAGAAGGAATATCTAAGACTCACCTTCCCTAAAAATCACACCACCCTAGGCCAGCAATACTGGTGACACTAAAAAACACCTTGAAGTTTTACCTTTATACAAACTGTCATTCTCCTATTAGTCTAAAATGAGTAAATAATGTCATGACCGAATGCAACATTGGTCCTTGAAATTGTCATACTTTGACTTATTTTGTTTTGTTGTGCTTTATCTTCGTTTGGGGGAGGGGCACATGTGTTCATTTTCAGTGGTCACGCCCAGCAGTGTCTGGGGGGCCATTCCAGGGATTGAACCTGGAATTCTAGCCCTTTTACCTATCTCCTCAACCCCCACTTTATTTATTTTATTTACTTTTTTTCAGCTCAGGTCCTGCTTTTGAAAATATATATATTTTTTCATTAGTGAGACATCATGAGGTACAATTGTAGACTTAAAAATTTTTGTGCTTGGGTTTCAATTATACAATGATCAAACACCCATCCCTCCACCAGTGCCCATTTCCCACCACCATGGATCCCAGTATCCCTCCCACCCCCCATTCTCCCCGGCCCCCCCTGCCTCTGTGGCAGGGCATTCCCTTTTGTTCTCTCTCTCTTATTGTCAACCCCCACTTTAAACTTACATTAGCTCGAGGAACAAAAAAAACAAACAAGGACTCTTAGAAGACTTAGTTGGTTTGGGGCAGGAGAGAGTACAATGGATCAGGCGCTCGCCCTGATTACAACCAGGAATAATTTCTAAGCCTGAAGTCAAGACCTGAACTTTGCTTGCAGGATCAAGTGTGGCTCCCAAAACAAAACAAAAAAACTAAAGAAAAGAAGACTTAGCTAATTAGATTTGGAAAAATTGGAAAGAGATTTTCTATCAATTTATCACTGATTTAGAATTTTGTGGAATATTTTTGTGGAGGGAGAGGAAAAGAGGGGGAAGGGGGAGGAGAGGGAGAGGGAGAGAGAAAGAGAGAGAGAATTTGCAGAGCAAGTGTTTACTCTCCCAAAGATCACTGAAATTCTGCTCATCAACAGTAACCTAATATCACTCCTTGTCCAGGCCACCAGTCCTTCCTCAGGAAAAACAAAAAGTTTTCCCCTAATTTAGGCACAGGCTGCAATGAGAAACAACAAAACAACGGTCCAGAGAGCACGCCTGGAAGGCTATAGAGCTATTCATAATGGCAGTACTCCTTCCAAATCCAGGCTTACTGGAGCATTTCCTGTGCTTTGGCTGATGCTCAGAACATATGCATAGTCATCAAACATTCTTTTCTTATTTTTAGCATAGAAAAATGTCTATCTGTCACATTCTGGTCTTCCTCAGGCCCCGAGAGCCACTGGTCATCAGTATCCATTCCAACACTGTTGGAACTCGAGCCATCTGCTACGATGCCCGGCATCCACCAAAGGCGCATCTTCATGGCTAGTCTGCTCATTATGTTTATCTGCTCCTAGGTAAAAGCCCATTCAGAGCTATTAATCTGCACTGTTATTTCACTGGCTTCTAGCTGTGAGTTTATGATATTTTCATCCCCAAAACTAGTTTCCATACTACATTAAAGTACCTCAGATAGAGAAGAGATCATTAGTCATTGATGGTTGGAGGAATCGCTTGGGATGGGAGATGTGTGCTGAAAGCAGATAAAGGACGACCAAACAAGATGCCCTCTCGGTATCTGTATTGCAAACTATAATGACCACAGAGAGAATAAGGGGGAAATTGTCTGCCATAGAGGCAGGGGGAGGTGGGGAATTGGGGGGTGGGGATGGGATGGGGTAGGGGGGAAGGATACTGGGGACATTGGTGGTGGAAAATGTGTACTGATGGAGGGACTGCTGTTCAATCACTGTATGACTGAAATGCAAACATGAAAGTTTTATAACTGTAGCTCACAGTGATTCAACTAAAAAAATAAAGAGAATAAAAATACATTAAAAAATAACTCAGAGCTGGAGTGATAGCATGGTAGGTAGAGTTTGCCCTGCACGTGGACGACCCAGGTTTGATTCCCAGCATCCCATATGGTTCCCCGAGCACCACCAGGAGTAACTCCTGAGTGCAGAGCCAGGAGTAACCCCTGTGCATTGCTGGGTGTGACCCCCCAAAAAGCAAAAAGCCAAAAGCAGGGGGAAAACAAAGATAACTCAATATACCTTAATTTTCTTATTTACATTATCATGGCCTCCCATTTTACATGCTTCTATTCACCACCTATCCTCTTCTGGTGGTGGGCATGGTTTGGTAACATTGTAGCCCTAAAACATTATACTCCTGTAAAATCAAAATAACTATCTCAATAAGTGAAAATATTACATTATTAAATAGGAAAACAGGTGATTCAAACCACATGAACCAAGCTTAAAAAATATTTAATTTTTAAACAAATTAGGGTGGGGGCTAGAGGCAGAGAGGGTGAGGGAACTTAGGGACACTGGTGGAGTGATGTTGACACTGGTGTTGGAACACAGTATGTCTAAAAATCAACTATGGATAACTTTTAAAATCAGTGTTTTAATAAAAAAAGTTAGAAATGTTTCAGGGTAGCATAAAAGAAAAAAACTCACATCCTGGAATGTTTATACAGTGTATGCAAATTCATGACATTTCTGTTAAAGCTGCTCTCCATGGAAATGTTTCTACCAATATGCCTCAGATATTAGTGTTAACTGGCATGAGAACAAATAAGATCATTACTCAGAGAATAAAAAAACTGAAATCATAGCCTACATTAATAAATGCAAAGTATTTCTTGTAAGGAAGATTCAGATTTCTTGGGGCCAGAGTGATAGTACAACGGAGGGCATTTGCCTTGTAAGCGACCGACCTGGGTTTGATCCCTGATGTCCCTGAACACTGCCAAGAGTAATTCCTGAGTGCAGAGCCAGGAGCAAGCCCTGAGCATCACCGGTTCGACCCAAAAAGCAAAACAACAACAATACCAACAACAACAACAAGACTCAGATTTTATTTCTCATATTGTCTATTATGATTTTGACAAATCTGTTTATCTACCAACAAAGGAAAAGGGGGAACATACTCAGCAAAGTATCACCACCTCTTCATTTGTTCTGAGGAAAAGCATCGCCTCAGACAGTAGGGAGCTTGTCAGTGAAGACAGAAGGATAGAGAGGTGTTAGCTGCTAGAAGTTTACTGGTAGAGTGTATTTTAGCTGAAAGAGGCTTGACTGTTTATGGCCGGCAGTAATTACCTGAGGCAATTACTATTCCCCTCAGATTCCACAAGCAGGGTAAGAACATAGTCTTCCTAACGCACATTTTAAAAGTGATAAATATGGATTCCAAGAAAGGATGAGGAAGTGGTTAAAAAATAAGCATATGAGACTTCAACTGACTTTAACTTTTATCTGTCAGAATCAGTGGGAACAAACAATGGGATAAATTCTTCTAGATTTAGTATTGCTTACCTATGAAGAATTAGCTGGTGATAGATATACAGAAGGTGGCAGAACTTCTGGATTAAAGGTGAGGAAAAGGAATCCTGGTCCTGTCTGAATCTGAACTGTGACTTTATTCATGGGGTTCAGAAAGTTCAGAGAATAGGTATAATTCTGTGTCGTTTTATTTCTTGAAACGACAAGAAAAAGAACATAAAAACAGGGGCTGGAACAACAGTGTAACAGGTAGGGCATGTGCCTTACACGCTGCTGGCCTGGGTTCGATCCCCAGCACCACATAAGGTTCCCTGAGTACCACCAGGAGTAATTAATCCTTGAGTACAGAGCCAGGAGTAAGCCCTGACCAATGCTAGGTGTAAAGGTAAGGTAAAGGTAAAGGCCCTCCCGTTGATCGTCGATTTGCTCGAGCGGGCCCAGTAACGTCTCCATTGGAGACTTTGTTGTTACTGTGTCTGGCATATCGAATACTCTCGGTAGCTTGCCGGGCTCTCCGAGAGGGGCGGAGGAATCGAACTCGGGTCGACCATGTTGGCCGCTTGTAAGGCGAACGCCCTACCGCTGTGCTAGGTGTGGCACATAAAAAGAATTCTGGGGGAAAACGCAGCTCAGATAGAGAAGGGAACAAGTAAAGGATGTTTGGAGGACTCAGGATGCGAGATGTGTGCTGAAAGTAGACTATAGACTGAACACGATGGGCACTTAATACCTCTATTGCAAACCACAACACCCTAAAAAGAGAG